GACACTAGTTGGAACGGTGCTTTTCGAAATATCTTTCTTTGGCTTCTTCTTCGAAGCAGTATTTAAGTTTCCTCCAGCCTTGGGGTCTTCCCCAGTGGTGCTTGATTTCCGCTTCTTGGGAGTAGGAGGAGGAAGCTTGTTGGTCTGAAAGAATTTTAAAACTTGGGGTTAGATGTAAACCATAAAGCATGAGTGAATTCGAAACATCAAGGCCAAGTGATTACCGTTGGAATTGGAACACTGGTTGTTGTTGGTATTATTGTTGTTGTTATGGTTGCAGCAGTAGTGGTTGTCTCGGGTGGAGTCACTTTGTCAGTAGTTTCGATGGAGGCTTGAGAGGCACTCCCTTCTTTCGACTTCGAGGCAGCTGTCTTTATCCTGATAGCTGAAAATCGAAACAATTAAAGCAAAGGTTAAAGATATGGAAAATAAAAGACATTTGGGATTTTCCCAAGCATTCGCACCTGTGCCTTGATCAGATTTAATTGACATGGCAGAAAGGTCGTATCGAAGGTGTCCTGGGAAATCATGAAGCCAGTATCGAGCCCATGTCACAGTCTCAGATGGCTTTGGTTTCCTTTGAAGATATTTGAACATCTCTTTGCAAGTAAACCACCATGGATATGGGGGAAACCAAGCCAGAGCCAGTTCTGAGGTAGGTAATCTGGGAAATTTAGGTGGATGCATTTCGAATGCCAACCTATACCTATCCTCAGGTGACAGCCCTGAAGGAAGTTTTAACTTAGAAACTTTTTGTTTAAATTTTTCCTTCAAGGTCTCAGCTGCTTGATGCACAGTGGAGTCCAAGCGCGTGGGGTCGTAAGTAGTTTCAAAATAATTTTGGAAAGCTTTAATCTCTTTGGCATGAGTAAACATACCTTTCTTTGTTGGTACCTGCACATCGAAGGCATCAATTAGTTTCTGTCGAATTGTAAGTGTATCGAACATATAAGTTTGATAAAACTTGATCCACCACTCCAGAAATCCTTTAGCCGCGAGATGGGTAGGTTCGAAGGTTATCAGCTCAAATTGGGCAAAGCCTTGATATTGTTCTTGCTGTATTTTGGCTTCCCGTGCCTTGAAAGTTCGTCCAGAAGTGATGGCGCTCTCAGTTTGAAATAAAGGTTCAGGAATCAGTTGGCATAAGCCAAACTGCCTCGAAACGAAGTTTGGTTGGTAGGCAAAGAGAAAAATTTGGTTTTTGGCTGGGGTTATTCTTGAAGAAATGAGTCTAGGCAGCAAAAAAGCTCTCCATACATCCTGAATCTCCTTGCTCTTGATAGCTTCTGAGAGAGCCATGGTGAACCAAGAAGGTCCATGAGCCCTCGAAGCAAAAGGCGCCATGCTCTCTTCGAACTTGTGCCTTTTGGAGAATATCATGATGTACTTCGAGAATTGAACTTTGAAGTCGTCTTTGTCGTCATTGGGAGTTAATCTTCGAAGCCTAGTGCCTTCGACTATCCTATCACTTATCTCAGAATCTTGCTCATCAATGGTGTTGGTGGTTGATAAGGAGGGTTCGAACATGGCATTTAGCCATAGTTGGAGTAACCAAAAAGGGCCAGCCAATAGAATATTTTTGGAGGTGTGGGATTTGAGGCTCGAAACAGCTGACCTCAGGCTTTCATAGAGGTCAACTAAGAGCAGTTCACTTAGGCACACTTTTCGATTTTCATGCAAGTCCCTAGCTAGAGGAATGAACCTACTAGCTACCTGTAGGGATCTACTGCAGAAAACGTATCTTGACAGCCACAGGGTTAAGAAAGCAATGTGCTCTACGTCAGACACATTGTCCCCCTCAGCATGGTAATGACTAATAAATTTGGAAAAACTGGCTAGCTTGACTTCGAAGTCAATTATGCTTGAGTGCTCTTCGTTGTCGGGTATATAAGTTTCTCCCACTGGCGACAGCCCAGTGATGGCCGCTATGTCGAAGAAGGTTGGGGTGATCATTCCACCTGGGAGATGGAAAGTGTTATAGGTACTGTCCCAGAAATAAAGGGACGCGAATAGCAGAGGGTGGTTGTAGGTGAAACCAAGCTTCGATAGCTTAATCAGGTTATAGATGCCTAATTCTTCCCATTGCTGGGATTTCTTAGCCTCTACTTTCGTGAACCAATTTTGATAAGCAATATCAGAGGTGGGGCAAGATCGAAATGGCTTAAAATTACTTTTTACATAATCCAAAACAAAGGGGTCCTTAGGAGGAACAGTTGGGGTTTCTATGGTATTTGAACTAGGAGATTCTACTGCCTTAGGGGCGTCCATTTTGTTAAATAAGGGTTTGAAGCTATAACAAACTGGGAAAATCGTCCTGGTATCTTTTAATATTTCAAAAACCGTAAGAGGGCCATTTAAAGCTAACCTCTTACCAGCAACGTTGGTAGGAATGAGTACCTGTGACGCATACAACATTTCTTTTTCTTTTGAAATCATCTGAGGGGCAAGAGCGGATTGACCTTGGAGAGTGATGATTTTACTTTCCATGGTAGCTCCTGCAGCTTTTCCTTTTTTCTTGGAGACTTTCTTGAGTTGGGATGAAGTAGAAGAAGACATTTTTTGAAAGATGTTGAAAGCTTGGATTGTTTTACGAGAGAAGGAGGGTAAAAGATTTAGAGGATAAAAGATTTAGAGTGTGAAAAGAAAAGAAGAAGATTAAGTTAATGTTTTATAATGGGAAGTTTAAGCATCCACAGAATAAAGGTGTGATACGTGGAGATCATGGGTTGGTGTGATGAAGAGGTGGCGTAAAGTTAACATGGGTAATAGGCGTGATTTAAAGATAATCATTATTTGTAACTGCACCACGCTGTGAAGTGGCTCCAGGCGGTTAAGAAATCCAAAAGGTGCTATGATTGACGTGACTGGAGTCAAATGCATTAAATGTTACGATGATTCGAAAGTCCCATCAAAATCTTGTGTAGGTGTTTAAAATAGGTATTTCTCAGAGGAATCGAAATACATATTTTAAAGGGGCAATTTGTTGGCTGAAGATTTTGATAATGTTATTAGAAGCTAAATGAATTAAACGTTTTGATCGAAATGAGGTAAAGCATCATATTTCGAAGTAGCAGAAGCAGTGTTTCGAATAAGTGTGTCAAAGCTTAGAGCTTCGAGTGACAATTATGGGAACATATCTAAAGAAGTCTCGAAATAACAACAAGGCTGTGTCTGGGAAGAGCGTTCGAAACGGAGAAGCACCAAAGCATTTGAAATTCAAATGGAAGCGGGACTTTCGAAGTTTGAAAGTTATGTGTTGGAGCATTTGGGGACACGTGGAAAGATGAAAGAGGCACTGTCCTGCATGTTCTAAACGTGGCATAATCCTATAGCAAGACCGTTATGGTCGAATTAGTATAAATAGAAGTCTTAGTATTAGGATTTCGTGTGTCATATCTATTATACAAAATACTCAGTAACATTCAAACTACCACATAGCAAGGGAAACGAATGCAAGAGAAATGTATGTATGATAGCACCATGTATTTCTGATTTAATGAAAACCTTTTACCATTTCCAGTAATTTCCTTTATTCCTTTTGTCAAATAACATTTACAAGTTTTCTTATTTACAGTCTTTTCACTTCGAAATCTTTTCTTCAAAGTTTTACATTTTAATGTTTTCTTCATATTTCAAGCACTTCATATCTCAGAAAACTGTCATATTTTCCATACCTTTACCTTCAAGTCTTATCCTTCGAACGCATATTTTTACTTAAAGTCATTTAAAGATTTCTTGCATTAAACGCTTTCTTCATAGTTCCAGAAATCCTTTATATTAACTGTTTTGTAAGTCGAAACCATTTACTTCACTTTTATACAGTTTTACATGTCTTTACAATTAGCATTACAATTAGCACTTATTCATGTAACTTAGTTTTCACACACATTTTGATCACATCTTTAGACTTTTAGAGAGAGAAATCGAAATAAGCCAAACACATATACAATATCAACCATGAATATCTGTTCGATTGTGAGAGTAACCTTAATATCCAAGGAGTCCTATGATCAATCTAGTCGATCCTGTGAGTTACCAGAGGAATTGAATAACAGTCAGAAAGATTATTCGATAGTTTGGAAGACTAGCGGTTGTTTACCAGAAATCACTGGAAACACCTATGTACAGGAGAGTAAAAGATAAGTTAAAGAGAATATGACCGAATAAGAAACTGGTACTTGACATAATAAAGTCAATACATCGTTCTCATCCCTTTGGGTGTAAAGCCACAGACAGATAAATAAGCCAAGATTATACCAAACCTCGGGTGAAAATAAATCACAAGCCGACGGCATCAAAGAAACTCAAATGTCAGATAATATTACAAGCATCGGATAAAGCATATCAAATCATAAGCGAGGAGCGCAACACGTGAAAATAAATCACAGACGAAGAAAGCGTGGATAAACTCGAGAGGGATCAGATAAAGCGCAGAGGCAACTAATTATGCTCATGGTATCGGATAAGACTCGAGATATCGAATAAAAATCCCTACATCACATGAAATACACAGAAAAATCCAACAACACAGGGAAACTATAAGTCCGGAATGAATCGAAAACTACTGAACATTGTGCTTTATTAAGTATTTTCTAGAATAGATTCATGTAGGAATCAACTCTAAATGGTCGGGAAAAAATATATGCGTCCATACGATGTTTAAAAGTTAACTTGAATTAATGTTTAAAATCGCAACGCAATGAAAAGAATATCAACATAAATTGAATTTATTTACAAGTGAATTAAATAAAATATAAAATCAAAAGTACTATACGTCATTAAATATTAAATTGAAATAGTAAAAATAAATACAATAAAAATGTAAATGAAGAAAAAGTATAGATGCGCTAAGAGAAAATGTATGTTTGGACCATCCTTGAATGCCTTCACAATAACAAACTAGTTAGTAGCATAAGAGGGATAAATGAAATCAAATGAAATTGCAACAATTTAGAACATATGTTAGTAATCACGAGGTATAAAATCGAAATGAAATTTGCATGATGCACATGGACAATTCAAGAACCAAACAATCGATTATTCAAGTATTTCAATTCACAAATGAACTAAAACCAAAGAAACTCATGCCATTATTCAAACCAAAATCAAAACATAGAAAATTGATTTTGAAACAAGCTAAGATCAAACAAAATCAAATCCGGACAGCAACTAATGCATATGAAACAATGTTCAAAAACTCAATCTCAAAAGTATTCAAAACAAGTAAAATACGCAACGATGCTTATCACAATCAAAGGCATAACATCAACAAACTTCAGAAAACCAAAACATCACAACTTCTACAATCATCGTAAATAAAAACAAGTATTTCAACAAAAGCTCATAACCAAGTTATACAGGAACAAATTAACAACATCACAACAATATTACATCCACATTGACATACCATAACTTCATATCAATTATCACAAGACCAAACAGACCAAACATAGTGTCAATTTCAATATTCAAATTAACCAGAATAGTACCCTAAATATCAACATCAATTCAATCTTATTTCAGAAATTCAACCAACTACCTAATAGAAGTAATGAATACAAGAGATACCAAACTTACAAAATGAGACAAAAGTGGAATTGCTGGAACAGTAACTCGCGGCCGGTTTGCTGTTGTTGTGTAGTAGGCAGCAGCTGTGTTAACAGTAGGGAGTAACGAGAACCGGATGATAGTTGGTGAAAGAGGAGGAAACAACCGATTGATAAGAGGAAGTTGCAGTAGGCGGAAGGAAGGTTCGGGTGCGAAGCTGTTTGGCGACGGTGATGATAGTGAATCAGATACGCGGAGCCGGAAGGAGTATGTTGCAGAATCGTGAGATTACAGAGGGATTTGAGAAGGTGTTAAAGGTTCGGTTGTTGTGGCTAGTAATCGACGGAGGGAGTGTATATCTCAGACGGAGGGAGTTGTGGGATGTGAGGGATTTGAAGCGAGGAATTGAAGAGAAGAAGGGGGTTTCGTATCTGGAATCTGATACGAAGCTGCTACTCTCTCCTATTCAATTTCTTATCTCTACTATTAATAGCAACACAAGTTAGGTTTTTTTTTTTCTTTCAATTTTAATAAATGGCCGAAATGCCCGCTACGATAAAAATGACCTAAAAATCTAAATGAACAAAAAATAACACATTTTAAAATATTTTTTTTAATTTTACCGAATAAAAAAATGGACGTCTAAAATTGTCAAAAATGATAAAAATACAAACACTAAATTAATCGAAAAACGAAATGAATACATTAAAATAAATAACAGGTCACAAAGATTAATAGAAAATAACTCAAATGATCAAAATCGAAACACAATGAGAATAAAAATACTCGGTTGTAAAATGCTTACGATTAAGAACGAGACTGCAAACTGTATCGAAAAGATAAAGTGAGCATATCGTCATGATCTACGCGAAATGTAGATTCATAAAACAATATGTAAAAGGTGAAAACTTGAAATATTTTCTCGCTAATTTTCTGCGTAATGTCAAATCGCTTTTAACAGTTTGTCTGTAAAACCGAAATATCAATATTATCGACATATAAACAACTTGGAGAAATGCGAGAAGTGAGTAAAGAGATAAAAATGCATGAAGTGAAATAACATATATTTTTCAACTATAAAACAATGCAAACATAAATTTAAACTGACTTTTGGACAACTTAAATACGACTAACGATGCAAAATGTGATGAATGAAGATGTTTATTGATGATTGTGACTAAATAATAAAATTTGATAAAATAATGTGACTAAAAAATTTAGGGGCGAAATTTAGGGTGCAACAGCTGGTTTTTCTGCTATTAGTGTAGTGCGCTTAGCGCGATTGATCCCGCTTAGTGCGCTCTGCTATGATCAGCCAGTGAATTCTTTTTATTTCACTTGGTCATCCTTTTTCCCACTTTCGCCAAGGCTGTATTATATTAAATAAAATTAGTATTATTTTTCTAATTCTTTTGTTGGTTGTTTGTCGTTCAATTTTGGTTCGGTAGCTTGAGGTTGCATTTGGTGATTTTTCGAGTTTGATCGTTTCAACTTGCGGATGTATTGTAATGTTAGTTTTCAAAGTTGGTAAACACTAGATACTCATTTATCACTTTCTATAACATAACATGTTTAACAAACTTGTACTTTGTATGATTACCATGTCATCATTCTTTTTGCATTACTTGCTTTTGATTGAATCACTTTAGTTTCCTTTTTACTCTCAAATGTGAGGAAGCTTTCCATTGTTCATATATGCTGGAGGCCACAATTCTTGTTTTAAATGGATTTCATTATGTTTAATCTTTTTTTGTGTGTTGATTTTATGAAAGCATGAAAACGGTCAAGGCATTTTGTTTGATTTTAAGCGCAACTACTTAGCCAAATAGTCAATTCACCTTGTGAGTGTGTGAACTTTTGTTAACTTCGTTGGGCCTTTTTGTCAATGTCTACGTTGTTTTTGAACTTAATGTTTGTCTATGATTGTTTTTTTCCTTTTTGAATGGATGTTGATTCTTGTTTTCTTGAACCCTTAACCATTATTTATGGTTTGAACTTTTTACCTTGTCTTAGAAAGTAGGGAGTATTCACTTTAATGTTGTTTGAATAAGTTGCGGAGAGCAATGTTTGCTCACTTATGTTGTTGGTTGCTATACAGATGTGAAAAAGAAAAGAAAAAGAAAGAAAAATGTGAAAAAGAAAGAAAAGAAAAAGAAAGAAAAGAAAAAGAAAGAAAAAGAAAGAGAAAAGAAAAAAATTATGAAAAAGAAAAACAAAAAGAGTATGGAATAATGTCGTGTTAATAAGTATTGTGATTGATTTGTGAAATTTGGGATTAAGAAGAAGTTTGATTAAAATTTTCTATTTGAAACTTTGTGAGATGATCACTCCCTTAGGTTTATGCAAGTTTTTGTTTCGATTAACTTTAGGAATTATTCCTGGTTTGTTAATCAAACCACATTACAACCTTGAAAAGCCCTTGTGATTCTTTCCTTTGTATTTTTAATATGAATTTTTGGATGAATGTATAATTTAGTCTTTTGTTTCCAAGGTTATTGGATGAGTGCCTATGTCCCTCACTTCTGTGTATTCTTCATCTACCGATGAATTTTTACTAGGTGTAATTCATGATTAAGCTTGTTTTATTTTAGAATGTTTTGCATGATTTTTTGTACTTATGATTTGTTTCGTTCTCATGTTGTCGTGTAGGATAGTGGTAAGTATGTACTTTGCGTGTGCGTTTTTGTTTGAACCATACATTTATTTTCCGTTTTTAAAAAACTTATTGATTTGTGATTCTTTGATTATCATTCTTTGTTTCTTTGGGTTGTTTGACTTCGTTGGAGGACAAACAATATTTCAAGTTGGGGAGAGTTGATAAGTGCTAAAATATCGGTATTTTGTGTATGTAATTTGTGGCACTTATCAGGTATTTTGTTAATATTCTTTAAATAATTCCTCGTTTTGTTTGTAAATATGTATACTTTGTATATAATTGAGTTTTTGATTTATTTGTGTATAGTTTGATAGTTTCAATGTATTTTTGTAGGTATTTATGCATATTTGGAGAATGAGCAATAAAGTGTCGAAGACACGGCTTCAAACGCACGATTTTGGAAGAAAATAAGTGTTGCAGACGGGGTTAAGTGTGGTCTGTGCGCGCTTAGCGTGCCCTGGGAGCTGAAGAGAAAATTTTGGCATAAGCGAGCATGCTAAGCGCAGCCTGAGCCCGCTTAGCGCGCTCTAAGGCGGTTTAGGGAAAATAAGAGGAGCCTGCTTAGTGTGGCTAGTGCTCTTAGCGCGGTCTACGTATTTCAGTTTTGTATAAATAGCTCAAAACCATTTTTTAGGGTTTTTATCATCTCTTTCCCTCATGGAGGAGCTTTGATCCAATTCTTTGTAACTTAGGGGTTTACCCAACACCATTGGGTGATGCATCTTATTGATTGGCTATGGATGGTCTCGGATCATGTTGACACCGTAAGAAGTTTCCTATTCATCTCCTTCTTCCCTTTGTATCATTCCAATGGTGGGTTTTGTATGTATATCTTTACTCTTTTTGTATGTACATTTGTTGATCATGGAATTGTATGAAATCTCTTATACAAATTAGTACCGGTGTTTGGTCTTGATTTTTGCTTTATCGCAGAGTTTCGGTTTGTCATAGAAATATGCTCTCTGAATCTCTTTCTTTCTTGAACATCTATTAGGGTCTAGTTCTAGAAATAGATTTAGGCTTAATATCCATGTGGGTATCGGTTATGAAATGCATCCGGGTTGTTTGAGTTGCGCGCGAAATCGCCTCCGAGAGAAAAACGGGTGATGTCTCACTTTGGGTTAGAAATAGCCTTAGTGTGAGTGATACATGATGGTATTGACGAGTGATCTAGGTTGAGTGCAATTGATCTGCAAGTTTAAGTATTTGAAGGGTAGAGTGAAATGCAATTCCAGAATAAATTCTCTTGGCTACGAATGATTGTTTATCGCTTTGTTTATTATTGCTTTATTTACTTTTCCCACATTTTATCTCTCAAACCCTCTTCCAAACTTATTAAGTCGAGACCGTCGAATGATAGTTTTTCCCTCTCACTAATCATTGTGGAGATAATATGATATAAATTATATCACCCAATAAAATAATACTTACTTTTTATTTTCCGCTTTACCGCATCAGCAGACAACCAAGGTCAAAATGTGAGTTTCCTTATGTTGATGCAGAATATTCTAAACTGTTGAAAATTACAAGATCTTATTTTGATCTTGACTCAAGAATCTTCCTAGACACAAATTTCCGTTCCAAGCTTTCATTCTACAATGATCTTTAATTGATCCTACTGATTTCTTGTCTGAGCCCTTGTTCTACCCAAAGATCTTGAAAACTCCCAACTTCGTTCTACAACTACCTTCTTTTGATGCTGTTGAAGTCTTCAACTGAGTACAAAATAATATATTTTTTGTTAGAAGTCATTATTAAAGCATTATAATCAAAACATTGAATCTTCAATATGATACACACACAAAAATTCACAAAAATAATTAGATTTCAAAATGTACATTGTATTTACCACTCATACTTAATCTGTATAGTTGACCGCCAGAAAAATGAGATTTCTTGGTTCAAGGTTAAAGGAGATTGGGTAACTTGAAGAAACTAACACAGTGCCTAAACAAGTCTAACTCAATCAACAATTTATAATGTTTTTATTGGTTTGACTTGAGACAAAAGGTGTGAAAGAAATAACACTTGTGAATTTCTATATTTGTGAAAAGTATGGCTTGAGATCATTTTAAGAATATATGATTGTGCCTCTTCTAATTCTCTCATGAATGTGAAATATCGTGATAAACACTCTCTATCATTTTTTAGAATGGTCGAAAATAATTGATATAAGAGCTAGAGGCACTACTACATAAATTCCATTTAACAACCGTTGAAAAACACATATAATCACGCGAGTCCAGGCGTTGTTGTGTAGAGTTGATAAGTACCAAAATAACAGTAAATGTGTCGACCTGAAATTCGTATGTGTTGACACATAAAATAAGAATTTATGCAATTTCAGAAATACTTCAATATGTATTGACCTGTACAATGCATGTGTCGACCTGAGCCTCCCAGAGGCTACAGGCTTCAAAACTGAGTTGCATGTGTCGATCTAACATATGTGTCGACACATACAATGAAAATTTATGCAGAAACTTGTTTTTCATGACTTGGATCAATTTCAAAATATTTTTAATGGTTCTTAAGACCTCTTTTGCGAAGGAGTGCCACAAGACATAGAGATAGCGTCCAATGTACATAAATACTAGCTTTTCCCAGTTTTGATATCATACAAACATCTAATGATGAAGTTGTACTCACACAACATACATATCTTTAATTGAAAAAATGATTGTCTCATAATGAAGTTGAAATTGATCTACTTGTGTTACTATGAAAAAAATACAAGGAGAATGAATATCTTCATCCTCCTTATATTTTTTCCCATACTATGTGAACCACAAACCATCATGTGAACCACAATCAAACTATGTGAATTTGAATCCTACAAGCACCATGAAAAAATAACATGTTAACATAAACTAACATGACATTGTAATCCAAAAAAAAATTATCAACATACATAACAATACATCAGAGAATATGGAAAAAATATTTGTTAACAACAACAATCAACAACAAAACATGTGAAACCGAATAAATAATATGAAAATCATGCCAACAAACATTTATCTACATTTATCAACAACAACATACAACAATAAAAAAACCATAAACTATCTAACAACAAGAAAATCATATGAAAATCATGTGAAACATAACAACAACATACAAAAAAACGGAAGAATAATGAAGAAGAAGAATACATTTATGTATGAAGAACAAGATTTACGACTATACTGTAGAATGAGAAAGCTAATGACGAAGAAGAGAAAAAATAGGTGTCAAGGTTTTGTTGTGAAAGATACTACGATACTGTCAAGAAGTGAGAGTTAATTCACTTTTATATGGATAAACAATTTCACAACGGTTGAACAAAGCAACCGTAGTGATATCCCTTTTATTTTTTATTTAAAAATAAATAAAAAAGAAAATGTGCACCTTAATGTTAAAGGAATAAAATATTTGATGGCGCTGAGGTTCGAATCCATGAAAGATAGATTGTATCACCACGGTGATGTCAGTTATTATATCCTAATAATTTTTAATTAAAAAAAATTAAAAAAAATGTTAGCGTTTGAATTTTGAGATGTTACCACGGTGTTTGAAAGAACTATGGTGACTTGAACGTTATTGTTTGCGCGTTTTGTAGTAGTGACTTTAAAGGTACAATGAATCATGAAGTTTTGTTTCCAACTTTTGTAAAGAACTTTGATGCAAAAGTCATATGTTACTCGGATTTAGAATAATGTGGTGACAAATTCGATCTGAGAAGCACTATTGACTAATACTTTAAATTTCTTGATTCATCAATTTATTGGTGTTCAAAGAAACAACCTGTTATAGCACTTTCATCATGCAAAGTAGAATACGTAATTAGATCCTATGATACGTGTCAAACCATATGAATAAAATCAATTTTAAATGAACTAGAGATGAAGGTTAAGAAGTCAATCAAGCTACAAACTGATAACAACTCAACTACAAATCTAGTAAAGAATGCATTTTTGCATGGCATGTGAAAAAATGTTAAGGCTAGTATTTGAGCAAGTTAATCAAGGAAGATTAGCAGTTGCACACTATCCTAGTTTTGTACATATTGCAAATGTGTTAGTTAAATTTTTGAAGGTTTGAAGATTGACAAAAAAAAATTCATTTTAAAAAATACATAAGTGTATTTTAGATCAAATTATTAATATAAGATAGAATTCAGCCAGCATGTTGTTACTTAATTCAATCCTATGTAATTTCGAAATTAGTTAAGTTGGTTATTAGATGTTGTAACTAACTTTGTGAATGGTTAGTTATTTAGACGGATAGTCTATAAATGTATATACACTTTGTATGACAATTCAATCATTTTGAGTACAATTCACTATTCTTCTCTCATCTTTTATATATCATACTTCCATCAACATTTGTTGTTTGTAGTGCAAGCAAGCACTTGTTCTAACAAGTACAATCTCATCTTTTTACAGGATTTGATAAACCTCCTTTAATCTATTAATAGTTAGAATCTCATACTTCCAAAATATTTATCAAGTAGCATATATGATTAACTTCTCTTCTCAACTATACCTAAACTTACTTTTCTATTCCACACACAAAAACTGAAAATGCCCTTTTCTTTCTCTAAAAGAAAAAAAATATAGTTTCACTAATAGAATAACCTTGCAGCTGTTACAATTATGGAATATTATACATGGTAATAAAGTATTATATAATCTTTGATTCAATAAAGTTACAAAATTTATCCCCTCTTAAAATACTTTTCTTTATATTCAACAAATTCCATCACTTGATAGAACTTATTTTAGTAAGTTATTCAAGAATCCTATAATTTTACACTTGATTTTCATCCCTTAGTAACTATATTTCCCAAGTAATGAAGAATTTTTTTTAAAACACTTTAGGAGAGTGCTGCATATAAGAGCTGGTTCCAAGTATCAGGTAATCCTGGTAAGCACCAATGACTACAATCATTGCCTGCATGATCACCACTATAGGAAGAAGGGTGTGCATCTTTTCTCAATTGTGACAGAAGTGTAATATCAAGAAGATAAACTTGAGTTTTCATATTCTTTAACACATTGTTCAATATGTTACATGGTGGAGGTAGACCTGCTGGATATGTTGATCCTGCCAATGGTTCAAGTTGTCCACTACAAGTTCTTTTTGGTTGATTCCACTCCTTTCCCCTAGTCAAGTAAAAATAATAATCATAAATTACATTCACTTAACATAATTTATAAAAAAATACTTCTATCAAGGTCTCAAGATCAAATTTTAATGACAGAACAGTCTCATATTTTTAAAGGTTCCGTATAGATTAATTGTTGTTTAACCATGAAAATTATTTTAACAATAGTAAATTTTGGACCCTGTGTAGTAGCTCGTTCGACTTGCATGCCCTCAAAGACAATTCTATCTACTGATATTACGAATTCCTAAGATAGATCTATCTATATAAAACTATGATTTGTCTTCATTTGACCCTCTCGCTAGTGGAGAGTATTGCTCTCTAGATTAATCAATCATACACCCAAATATTGAGTTTCCAAAAAAAAATTACTAAATAGAACAATTGTACTCTGTAGTATCGGCACATTTAAAAAATGGATGTTCGTGTCAATATTGATATCCAAAACTGATACCAACATTTATGAAAATATTTAATTTTTTTATTTTTTTAAATTATTATCGGTATAGACGTGTCTCGTGTTTCCGATGTCCGTTTTATAGTGAGGGTAGGGGGAGTTACTTACATATAATGAGTGGGGGAAATGCCTTGAAAGAAGACCTTGGTTTTGGAAGTATCAACATTAAGATCAACCCATCTAGCCCAAGTGTTCAATCCTTTATTGTAAGCTTCTAAACGGTCCATGTTTGTGACCAGATTAGGTCCATCTCTTATATAATCCCATCTGAACATCATAACCAACAAGAACTTAATTAGCAACCAAACATACCGTTAGGTTTGTGTGTGTGTGTTGTGTTGTGCTATAATTAGAAATGATTATGCTTGTAAAAAAAGCATACCCTTGTGATTTTCCTTTATGGGTCCACCAATGCCATGAGTTGAATATTAACATGTCATTGCCTTTCCATGAATCTCCAGCGACAATGGAGTCCAATGTAAGCACTCGACCAACGTTTTCTCGTATTATGTCCACTAAATAAGGTGTGCGGTATAGCTGGATAGTTACTCCATAGTCCTACATAAACTCACCCACCATTATCATTTATGAATAATTGAGAATAAATTGCATCACAAGGAAAATCATACAACATAATATAAAACAATTATGTTTTATATCACCTTCGATTAGTCGAAGTCACACTTATTCACGGTGATGTTACAAAAACTATATTAAAATGAAGAGTCATGATCGGTTGATATCAGGTGTCAAACTTAATATATATCAAAATTCAGCTATCTTTTATATCACCTTTAAATAAAATATTTTATGTTTGACATTTTATATCACGGAACTCTAATATAAAATCGACAATTAAAAAGTTGTGATAAATTACTACAAATTTAACAAAAACTACGGTTTGTATATTCATAAAATCTTGGTTTTATACAAAGATTTATAGAATGTAGTTTTTTAAATAAACTAACATTATCCACTTTCTAGTAGTTTATTCTTTATCTTCTACTTTATATCTATCAAAGAGAGCATCAATTATCTTAATTTTCAATACAAAACTTTATCTTGCCGTATAAAGCAAGAAATGATTCAAACATGTATCATTTCTTCCACTTTATTAACAAACTAGAATAGTATATTAAAAGTGATTAAAGTATTTTCAACACATAAACAGAATTTTCAAAAGGAAAAACATGTATTTTTGTATGCATAAAACAAAACATTCACCTCAAAAATAATAATAATCTAAATCTACAATAATGCTCTGTTCTGTGATAAATACTACAGTAATTTATTTCTTGCTACGGTTATCCACGGACTTATAATGACATAAAGTGGAAAGTACAATTTCATGTTCTGTGAATGATATTAATTATTGAGTAACCAATATAATGAAAACCAATAATAATAAAGGGATCTTTCCTCAACTTGTAATCACAGGTTGGCATGGTCTCTCTCACAGCCTGTCGATTTCATATCAAAATCAAAGTTTTCTACTAAATTCAAGTTTTAACAACGTTGAAATTGTGGTGTTTTCATAAATGAATATTTTTTTATAATGAAAACTATAAAAATAGAATTTAATATTCTCTTAAATGAAAATTAATGTGCAGTTGTTTTCTCGATTATTTTAATTAGTAGGATATTACAATTTCGTTATAGCATTAACTAGCTCTCGCTAGCATCTTAGCTTTGTGTGCTACGTTTTTTACATATATTCCAGCTACACTTTACGGTGCATCAATTTGAAAATCTATACTATAGGTCCACTACCAGACCCATTGAATTGGAGTTAGAGGGTCAGTTTGAAATTGATCTAATTTTTTAAAAATATTCTTAAAAATAATTTATTTTATTTAAAAATTGGTGTATGAATATAAATTGTTGATCCAACATATCTTCTCGTTTAAAAATACAATATATTTTCTAATATGAAAATTTGACACATAAATTTTCATACAAATCACTATTCTCTCTGTCCCAAAATAATTGTCATATTTAATAATTTCACACAAATTAAAAAAAATAAAAAATTAAAACAAGATAATAATATTTTTATCAAACTATTCTTATTTAATATTGATATATTTGAATTATCATAAGTTGAAAATATTAATTATAGAACATAATTGAAAGATAAAAATTAAATTTGTATTAGAAATTAAAAACAAATTATTGTGAAATAAATAATTTTATAAGATGCAACACTTACTTTAAAACGGAGAAAATATTGAGTTTGATGTGTGATTGTACAAAATAAAATATTTTTTTAATAAAATTATTGATTTATAAATATTAAAAGTTCAATTATATTAATACATGTTACAATATTGTAGAAGATATATTTTACCACACATATATTAGTCATATACATAGAGTAGTTGAATAAGGAAATTTCTCTTTATACGTAGTAGTGGTTATTATCACCACTGAAAATTTAAAAATATATTTCGTATGTGCACTTACAAATTCACATATTAGGATATTTCAGAAGTGTATATGCGAAGACACCTTCTTTTTTTTGCACGTTTTAATATTTAAATGTTGGATTTTAAAATATAGAGGGGGTATCATATGTGCACATGTGAAACATCTTGAAAGGTGAATTCAGATAGGCACATGAGAAACTTCCATTTCCATATTAGAATGTTGTATTGTCACCTATTTCAACTATTTCATTTATTGATAATCTACATTGATGAGATGCCACTTTTTATGCACAAACACATTGAAACATCGTGGATGTGGGAAGTGATGGTAATTACGGCCGTATCCGGATTGCTTGGTCAAGAAGAGGAGAAACACACTCTTGTGTGTCAAACACTTATTTCTGAGTTGACGGTGCATAGGAAACTTTACACTCGTTTATATGTGACTACGAAAGCATTTAATAAAGTTCATCATGTTCTTACTCCAAATGTTACCATTCACGCTCCGGTTGAAAAGTGGATGAGCTTCCCCGAAATGGGTCATCTTATAGCAAGTGTATATGAGATGGTGTGTATCGACTTGACGAGGTATGATTTTTCGAAAACATTTTTTTCCTCTTCAAACTATCCCACCTAAAGATCCATACAGACGCATCATGTGTATTGGGTACCTTAGATCACGTCCTTTTGTTCAAGTTTATTTGAAACCGGGTTGTCCTATTCCGGCCACATTCGTGGAATGGACAACACATCATACAAAAGAGGCGCAAACTTGGCCGGATCATTTTTATTTTGATAGAATGATGGAGTTCACTAATTTGATGGAGCTTGAGAGAGAATCAAATAGGGAAAAGTCGAAGAAAATTCCAGTTTTAGATTTAAACGGTGAAAATTCTTTCGGTGCATTTCGAATCATTTTTTGAATGTATTGTTGAATATATTATAAAATCTGTACGTTTCAATACATATATAACATATTGTCTATATTTAATTTTACAATTATTTGTTTTTTCCATGCCTCGTTAGTGCAAACAACAGTTCTATTTTCTGTTTCTGCATAATTCAAAAGTGCACATGCGAATTAACCTTAAATACTAAAAAAATAACACATGACTTAATTCGCATATGCATGTGTGAATTCACCTCTTATTTTTATAAAAAAAAAACATGGTGGTTGCAGAAGTGCACATGCGAATTTCCCTTATTTATGTAAAAAATATGGGTTATTCGCATGCGTACTTACGAATTAAGTCCTTATAAGATTTCTTTGGTCCATATTACTCCAACTTGCCTATATATTGAGTCTCCAAACCATTTCATTCTCCATCACAAACCAAAATCAGAAATGACACAAACATATTCACACCTTACTTTTGTCTACTTCAGTGGTGCACAGACGTCACTTCAATTCAGGTTCTCGCAGGACACGTCGTTCGCCGAGCTCATTACGATACTGCATTCTCTCTTGCAGTATCCATATAATCGAAAGGTGGTCAAGCTTAAGTATCGTTCACATTTACTTGACACTGAAGGAAACGTAAAATTCACTCCGTTTGAGTTCAAGAACGGTGACGATTTAGAGGTTATGTGGGATACCTTTCAACAATACTCTTCCAAGGGTCTGATTAAGATGGATGCGCGACTTTAAAGATCGGCAGCAGATGTTATCAAGATGTTTCAATGTCCTCAACTTCTCGTTTATAATAATATGTAATTTTAATTTTCTGCATAACTAATTATGTAATTTCTTTGAATTATGTTGAATGAATGTTATGAGTTATGTTGAATAATGTTGATTGATCTGTCCAGACATAAATTCGCAGATACACGTCTGAACAAATTTAACAGGTGACCTTGCATGTACACATGTGAAGTAAATCTACAAAATCACGTTGATGGTACGTTCCATGTGCACTTGCGAATTCTAGCAATATTTTAAAATTTTCGCAACAGGTCTTGAAAAAAAATACTAGGTGTGAGAAGAAATTCCCATTGAATAATACTCCCTTCATTCTCTTTTTTAAACAACTTTTATTTTTAAAATTTATTAAATAATTAATATATTTAATTTATATATATATATATATATATATATATATATATATATATATATATATATATATATATATATATATATATATATATATATATATATATATTGAAAATACATATTTATTTAATAAACTAAAAAAAAGAAAATTTAATTATAAAAGAAAATGGTGGGAGTAGGGTTAATTATAAAATAAAAAATAACTAGAAGAAGGAGTAATTAGCAATAGTTAAGTTAAGCTAATAAAAAAATAAGAAATTCTTTTAAACTTATTTTTCATAAATTAAATTTTTTTGACATAAAATAATTTAAATATTTACTATTATAATTTTTTTATAATTGAAATTACTTAATTTAAAAAAAATTATAAAAAACTTATTTAAAGAATTAAAATAGCAAATTAATTAAATCCACAAAATGGCGCATTTGAAGAAGCAACACATGGAGTATATAAAAACGCAAAATAAAGTAAAGAACGAACAAGGAAATGAAGATGAAGACAAATGTGGTAATTGGACCGATTCACTGAACACCAGTGAATAAAACACCAAATTAGAAACAAGACAAAAAACATTAAAATAATAAATAATAAATAAAAAAACAAACCTGAAATGTCACAGAAGACAGTGCTTCTCTCCTCACAAAGCTTGTCTTTGCATTTTTCACCGACGCATGAATCATACACGACAGCGATTCCCACATGTTCAAACTCAGTGAGTCACCCACAAACATTATCTTCTTACCCTTCCACTTGTTCAGAAAATCTTCCCCATCAAACCTACACCCACAAAAAAAAAATATTCACTCATCAATAACAAAATTTATTATTAATTATTTGAATTCACCTTAAATCTGCGTCAATGCAGCTACGAAGAATCGTACGGTTTGAATGTGAGATTTTCACAAGTTTTTTCCAATTTTTTAGAAAATGCTGCTCGTTGAGTTTAACTGTTTTAGTGATGCATATAAATTATTTTAGTTTCGATTCTCAAATACTAATACAATACTTCCTCCATTTTTATTTATAAGAAAATTTTAACTTTTAAAATTTATTGAATAAATAATGTATTTGATCTATATATAAATTAAATATATTAATTATTCAATGAATTTAAAAAGACAAAATTTTCTTATAAATAGAAATGGAGGGAATATCATTTTAGTGAGCTCAAAACATTAATAATTAAGGCATATTATTTTATACTATTCTGATCATTCTTATATATAAATAATATTTTGTTTAATTTTATTGAATAATTAATATACTTGATCTATATTTAGATAGAATATAAAAATTATTAAATAAATTTTTGAATGAAATCTTTGTTTAGGCTAATAATGATAGGAAGTGGATGAGATTTGAATATACCTTAGTAAGGAACATGAATCAGGTTTCCAAGAGAATTTGAGGTATTGTTTGTCAGGTCTTCCATACTTTTGACAATTAAATTCAGGATCAATGAAGGGACAAGTTGAAGAGTCATAGTAAGGATACGAAGGGTCAACAACCCAATTTCCTATGAACAAATTGCACCCATTTAGCTTTTTTCCACTTATGCCACTTACATTATGGAACTCAGCTTCACAAAACAAAACTTGACAAAACAGAGAGAATAGAAGAAACAGAGTAAAGACTCTGAAACCCATTTGGGTTTTTTTTGGAGTCTAGAAGTTGAAGAGATAAAGAATGAGGCTCTTGTGGGTCATATATGTATAGGATGGAAAAGTAGTATTTGGTGGGTTCTGTAGGTGTGGTGGGTAGTGTTGTACAAAGACTGATTTTTTTTTTTGTGGAGCTATCAATATTGAAAATTGAAGAGATATATTTTATGGGGAAACTCAAGATGTTACATACATGTGAATTGTGAGAGAATTGAAATGTTGTTTTTGAATTCGGTTGTTGGTATAAGTCTAACCATCTACATCCTCCGAGGTGAAGGTTCACGGGTGAAAGAGAATATGTTTGTGATGTCGCGTATTGGAATGGTCTCATGAATCATAAGATAAAAAAATACCATCAATTAATCTTGATTTGGTAAAATTTTCTAAAATATGTAAGTTACTCTTTCATTACCATAATAATTTTTACAATTTTTTTAAATATATTAATTTTAAGAAATTGTTCTTGGAACAAGCACAAAACTTAAGCGGTGAATCAAGAGTGAAATGGTTAATTGGAGAAGATGAAGTGAATTTGGAAATATTGAGAGAGAGAGAGAGAGAGAGAGAGAGAGAGAGTAAAAATGACATTAACAAAACAAACAAATCCAGAAAACAGCTAAAAATCACAAAACACGAGGTGCAAATCGATTTCTTAAAAGAGGTAATTGATTTTCCCAACTAACATAAAAAAAAAAGTAGGAAAGTTGTGGAAATTGATTTCCACGTTCCAGGAAATCGATTTCCTCTTCGAAAGTTTGTTTTTGTTCTGGACTGACCTGATAGCTAGAATGAGTCTAGTCTAACCCTTTCTTTCGGTACGGTCCATACGCCCATGGCCCGAACCGCCCCCACTCTCCGTCAGGCAATATCGACCATTTGTCCTCCCAAGTCGACACTGACCTAAGGTGATCGACGAGCACCTCTCAGTCTGTCCGACCTCAAGTCATACTGACAACTAGGAACCGACCAGAACGCTGCCCGTAACTTATCTCCTCCTCGGAACCAACGACTAGTTACAGACACATCTGCTTGGTTTGACCATGTCCTAACAGTTACCTAATTTTGCAGGCCCACATATCCATGCCCAAAAATAGGAACCAATGGCCATGCGCCAGGGGCATTATATACACCCACATACTTGTAAGGGCGAGATATCGAATATTCACTATTCACCACCAATACCTTAATACCTTGCTTGTATCTCATTGTTCCCATTCTTACTTGATCGTTGTAGCGGTAGAAATGTTCAAGACTAAGCCATATGATTGACTAGACTTTATACAAATCAAAATAAAAATCGCCACCGCGCTTTATTGTTTCTAAAGGAATGGGAAAAGAGCGAATAACCCAAAAAAAGGGGGAGAAAGATTCAAGGTAAGGGGGTTGGTTATGCAAAGGGAAGGTATTAGCACTCTAAACATCTACGATACTCCGCAGGAACCTCTTTGAAAAATCTGTATATTTTGGTTATGAAAATGTGTTATATATAAAATGGATAGTGGAGGTGAGAAAAGAAGTATTTTTATGATTTTTGCACCCGCCGCGGTTGCGAATCTTTAGTGCCTACGTACCACCTTTCGTGCAATAGGGGATCAGGGTACACGTAGTTCCTCTTTTAAAAATTTGAAACACAAGTGTGTTGGTTAATTTTAAGAGATAAGACATCATCGTCATTGTCCGTGCGGAAAACATACTTACTACCCATAATCATGAGAAAGGAGAATTTGCATCATCTTAAAGTGGAGGATATGACTTGGATTTTAAAATCAACAATGCCTCACTCAACACTCAAGTGGAAAATATCTCTCTTTACTACATATTGTAGAAGTATAGTTGTTTGCATCACTACAAGGATTGACGAGAGTCCAATCTTTTAAGAAAAGTTTTTTAAAATAAAAATCCAAAGTGGCAAAAATAGTTTGAAATGAGATTGGTTGACTTTTAGTCTTCTCACAAAAAAAATGTCAAGGTATTATTAAATTGATTGAAATTTATTGATGAAAATGTTTTGAAAATGCATGGACCTAAGTCCAAGTTTATTATGAAAGTATTTCAAGTTTAGAAATAAGAAGAGTTTTTTTAAAAGGAGGGAGAAGATTTTTGAAATTAAAGAAGATGGGAGGAGAAGAAGAGATTATCCTAACGCATAAGGTAAAAGCTAGGGATAAGAACCATCTAACCAACAAGAAGCCAATACTTGACATTATGAGTCAATATAGAATTCACATTCTTTGGATTGAAACCAAGCAAGCAAAGATACTAGACCTCTTGAGAAAACCAAACTTCAAGTGTATTAAGTCTTTGCAAAAATTAGGCAGAGTAACGGCTGTATGCGGGTGAATTCCAAATTACAAACAAAGTATGTAATCACAAATAACCTGCACACAAAACAAACAAACAACCCAATGTCTTGAGGTAAACCTCAAGAATTCCAGACAAAATATCAAATAAAGTCACAAAGTTTCCAAGGTAGGCCAAGGTCTCTAATCCTAAGTCCAAGAAGTAGTCTCATGCTCCATAATACCAAAGATAGTAACCAAATAGTCCAAGTATTATTAAAGATTTTTATGGTTCATGTTGATTATTAGGTATCTTTAAAAGGAAAAGAGAAGCTTAAGTGAGCAAAATAAAAATGACATAAAAGTAAATGCTCAAGTGAGCAAAATAAAAAATGGCATGAAATGTAAGTGCTCAAATTAAATGGTACATAAAGCATAAAAAAATAAAAGCATAAAATAAAGTCAATTGTTAGAAATTAGTGGTTAATTGCATGACCATATTGAAACTTGCATTTGAAATTCATTAGAGGATTGGTAGAACCAAAACCTCCACATAACAAGTTGCATTTGCTTTTTGTCAAGTATATCATCCATTTTGGAATCCTCAAAAGTAACATTTAATGATCAACGATGTTTAAATGATCCGCGTTGACCAAATGTATTGTAGATCCATTAGAGGATTGGTAGAACCAAAGCCTCCAGACAATGAATCTCAAGGTTATTGGTTCAAAGAGATCAAATTAACATACTTGGGCTTGCAATCATAAGTTTGGGCCACAAATGATCATTTATTCGAATCGGGACAAAATTTAGCGCTATGTTAAACAAACATAAGTGGACTTATGTAGAAGTCGCACCTATTTTGAGGCCGGTCAATAGCAATCTATGTACTTCATGTTTGGATAAATGATATAGAGATCACCATCCCTTAACATGTAGCACAATTAAAAAAGAGAAAGGGACAAGATGAAGAGGGAGGGGAATGATAAGCTAATTTGGATCACCATTTCAAATTTCTTTCATCTTTAAATTCAACGACTCCTCTAGATAGATTAAAGTACTAAATATATCATTAATCCAAAACACCAAAAATGAATTAAATAATTCATTCTTAGGTAGATTTGAATTGATGAACATTTATCCAACTTCATCTACATCACAAAGTCCATTGAGTTTAATGACAAATTGGACATTTAAAATAGTAATCCAAATTATTCATCAAAAAAGAGTGAGCAGAAAAATATTTGAGTCAAAACAGTCCCAAAATAAGACAAAAAAAGTATTTTTGGCACTGTTACAATCAATTGTGCTTAGACAGCAACCTATCGCATCAGTGCAGTTTTTTATCAAATTAATTTTCTATGACAATCAATTGCAATGTTACAACAATTGATTGCAACTTGTTAAAAAATCAGTAGAAAACAACATTTTAAAGATCAAATTCTTGTTCCAACTTTTCATCAAACACCTTATGATCATGGATCCAATTGAGCATGATAATTCCAGCAAATTTTGAGAAAATAGCACTAATGGAATCATAAAACAGTGCTCAATGAATCAAAACCAGAAATCCACAAGAGATCACATTGTGAAAGGTGATGATCCAACTTACCAAAGGTAGAATTAGAGAATTATCAAACAACTTCCAGAATTTTCTTCAATTCAACCACAAGAATCAATTACCAAAGCTTAGATGTAGAGAATTGATGAAGAAACCGTGTTTGGATGAAGGTTTATCTAAAATATTAGTAAGCTTCAATGCAAAGCTTACTAACTTTTTTAAAATGGAGCTTTGAGTGAATTTGGTAAAATGGAGAGAATTGAGAGATTTTTTAGCAAGATGATTTTGGCTATCAAAAGCTTGTGATTTAAATGAAATGATGTCTCTATTTATAGAGTTTTTGGATTGGGATTAGTGGTAATTTAGTAATTGATTCTTGGAGCCAAATTTGAATTAATGATATAATTTCAAATTATGCAGAAAAAATTGGAGCCAAAATGATGACAATTTGAATTTGCTGGCTTTTTTCAAAAAACACGTGCATTTTGCTATTATGAGTAGATACATAGGTGGTATGTGTCGATACATCCTAGCTGCATAACACAACATGTGTAGATACATGCCTCTATGTGTTGATACATACTGTTTCTTCAACATATTACAGAACCACACAAACTGCATGAGTCGATACATAACACGTATGTGTCGACACATGCAAGTTATTCAAACAGGATGAGTCGATGCATACATGTATGTGTCGACACATGCTAGTTATTCAAACAGGATGAGTCGATGCATACATGCATGTGTCGACACATGCTAGCTATACACAGCTGGATGAGTCGATACATACCTTTATGGGTCGATGCATGTTGTCTTTCACCATAATACAAAATCAAATAAACTTTCATGAGCTTATTTGTCAGATGCTTCAACTTGGTACCTATAAAACAAAAATATAAAAAGACAAAGACAAATTTTTTTTTTGTATTTTGGTTAGAGGTTAGTCAACAACACATATACAAAATACACAACCAAAGTGCTTGGAGATTCCTCAAGAGCAAGCTTAAAGATAGGAGATGGAAAAAAGGAAGAACCAACCTTGATGTGATTTTGTTATGATCAAGCTGACATGATGTGATAGGGGAATCTTAGGGGCAAAAATTGGGGTACAACAACTTCCCTTATTTAAGTGTCTTCTATCC